TAGATTCAATAATGACATTTCGGCTGTTGAATTTATTGTATTTGTAACTTTTTCATTTTTATCCATAATTTTCCTGTTTGATAATTAGCTAGAGTCTCTATTATTTTGCAAATGTTCATGGATAGTTTCTTTAATAGTATCTAGTCCTTTATGTAATTCAGTGCATTTCTGATGATATTTAGCAGCTTCTTCGAATTGATCTAAATTTTCAATAAATGCTTCAGTATAAGTATTGAAATTATCTTTAATTCATCAATATCTCTCCATGGTTTATGTAATGAAAGTAATGCATAATAATATATCTCAGGTTCAGTTTCCACATTGAATTTCAAATGATTAATTAGACAACATCTCGATCTTTTCTTCAAAAATAAAGATTCGCTAATTTTATAAATCTCGATATTCTTATCTTTAACAGGTTTTTCTTTTACAATATCGTACCAAGTAGCAAAATTAAATAGAGATATATCACCTAGTTCATTAGGCCTATTCGGATAATAATCATCAATAAGAGAAGCAAAAAATATGTCCTCTGAATTTGGATCTAATTTTTTTATAATATTATACTTTTTTACCATTTTATTTCTGATCATTGATACATTCAACCATTTGATTGTAGTATTTGAATCACTACCATACAGTGGAAGACCCAAAAGCGTGTCAGCAGCTTCAAGGCCACCAATTTCCCGGTGATTCAATGTGCGAAAAGCAATATTACATAGTTTTTGAGTCAAAGTTTTTGAAGAGTTGATATCATCTAATATTTGAAGTGAATTAGCAGATTCTGATTTACATGAGTACTTGGTACAATACTGAGTCAATATGGTGGAACATTCTCCAATGAACTGTATATCCATGTTTCCTTCCCAAGCACATAAAACCACAGGATTGTAATCATTGATATATATTTCATTTGGTTTACGGATAAAATCGTAAAGACGGCTTTTTGATTTCAAATTTCTTCTACCTGCAATAGACTCAGCCGAATCGCGCAAAACGAAATGCTCAGTTGTAGGTCGAGGAAATCCAAACCTACAGACTAATTTTATAATTCCGTACTTTTGTTTCTTATTTCTTAAACAATAACTATTGTGATGATGTTTTTGGTATGAATTTACTTTTCTGTAAAGTTCGGGTGAAGTATTCTTTTCTGGTATACTACAAGTTATATACTTTAGTATAAAATTGATTACTTCTTCGTTTGTAATTTTTCCCAATATAGGAGCATTTTATACCCAAAATATGCAATGAAAATGTTGTATCCCTCTACCTTGATATTCACGACGGCAGAAGTAATGATCTATTTCATCAATAGGATTATCTTGTGATAATAGAAATTAAAGCATCGCTTGGAATTTATTTTCAATAAATCGAGATACAGATACTAGATCTGATGCTATAATTTCATTATTTGAGTAAAGTGTGGACTGTTAATATCACGAACATATTGTATAAGATCACTCCAATTATATTCTGCTGGAGACAAAGTAACGAACCAAGTTGCTGGTCCATAATAAAATATCATACATCGTAAATTGTTTCTTGGGCGACTCCAAAACTGCGGAGTATTTCGTAAACGCTCAAAAAACGTTGTCAGTTTTTCTTCTAAATTACCATTTTCTGAATTTTGCAAATATTCGTTGACAGTATAACGTTTTTTTGGATTTATTGTGTAAAGTAAATGATATATACCACTATTAATCTGACGTATGTAAGTTTTACTAAGTAAATGAAAAATATACTGCACATTCAGACGGAATCGTACATTAACAGACATCAAACGTACTTTTGCATATTCATTGTCACTAAGAGGAAAGACTCGGCCGTCCTCATGCTCTCCGTTTTTTCCCAAAGGATGAAGATCAGGAAAACATAATAAATCTAATGTTGCAAGTCGGTTATCTAGAGGATCTTCACGAATTCTTTTCATTTGATACAAGGTTATTGAATCTTTATGTAATCTTTGATTATACATGCGATATATCGTATACTCTTTTTCAACTTTATCAAGATCTGTAACTTGAGTTAAAAACGGAGACTTTACAATCTCTTCGTCCTCCTGAAGAAGTTGTACATCATTATGTTTCGAGGATTTCGAACTCGTAGATGGTAATTTCTGTATTTCATCATCTATAGTTATTTGGGAATCTGACTTTTCTATCTGAAATTGCACAGAAGACAAATGATCAAATAAGTGTTCAGAACATTTAGGTAGTTTTATTTCTGAATATAGCTGATTATGACTCTTGAGCCAATTTAGTGATTCGAAAACTTTCTTCATATTCACTAAACTTTGCCATATTTCCTTATCATTAGAAGGAAGTCCATTAACTAAAATATAAAATTCATGATTTTTATTTATTGGCTCTGTTACCGAACAAATTTCATTCAAAGTGTCCTCTAATAGTGAAGGCAAATGTAATGTAGTTCCCTTCAGTTTTTGTATTTTCATTCGATTTGGTAATCATTTCTTCGATACAGTCCCCATTCTTTGTACTACTTGGAATGCTTTTGCTCTTTGGATTAGGAGTTTTTCATAGGCATAAAGATCAACCATTTCATTTGGAATACTTCCCAAATGATTCATTATACAAGTAGGGGGACATTTATTATTACGAATTTTGCCTAGACAATATTTACACATAAAATTAGAGTTAATTTTTGAATTGGTATCATTCAAATATTTCAAAAGACTCTTATATAATGCATTATCAAAAATTGGTTTGTATAATTTATCCTACCAAAACTGCCATCTATGGATGTCAGCAGAACTTCGCGCCAAGTCCACGTCTCAAGTGACTCTGAAATAATTATAAATATCATTCAATAAACAATTTGATTACTCAATCTTCAGAGAACAAAAATTTTTGATATTACATGGAATGCCAAGCCATTTATATAATTTATTAAATTCTTCGCGTTTTCGGTCAATAGTAAAAATAAATTTTTTTCAAATTATTTATTCTGCGTCAATCTATACAAAAAATTTTCAGATAAAAAAACATATGATGATAGCAAAACTGCCATCTTCGGATGTCAGTGAAAATTCACACCATGTACACATTTCAAATGACTCTGCAAATAATAAAATTCTCATTTCGGAATGATTAATTAAAAGAATTTTAAAACAACAAAAATGTTTGAAATCAAATGGAGTACCATGTCATCTATAAAATTAAGACATTTTTTTCTCTAATTTCTATGAATAGTGTAAAAAAATACTTTTTCGAATTTTTTTAAATAACTTGAAAAGCAATTTCGTAGATGAAAATTTACGATCAATTTTTTTGCAATTAATTTTTACTTAATTTGAAATAATAGCGAGTTAAAAAAAAATTTCATAAGACTTGGCCCAATTTATAAGAATCATGTCAAGAAATTGATGGCAGTTTTGGTAAGATTTCATTTATTTTCGTATTTTTATTGTTTAATATACGTTATCTTCTATTTAATGATCTGTATGTTATGTATATAAGAAAGATATACTTTACGACAGAAGAAAATCTCTATTCGAACTAGACTACCTACACGAAACTGTCTTTCTTGATAAAATATGATACAAACTTATCCGATGAAATAAACACGGTATTTTTATCTTGCAAATCGCTGTGCATGTTTTATATTCAGTAATATCATTTTAATGTGGCCTCCTCCACCCCTTTTAGCCAACCCTGTCCTCACAAGCAACTGCTAGTTTGATGTCATTTTGTAGTTTTCAAATAATTAACTGTTATCTGATACATTTTACGTACTTATTCAATTTTTTTTTTTTAAACTAGATTTTTCTTCGTAAGCCTAGGTACCAGTATTTCGGGTAGCACAATAATCACATTCGTTGTTATGAGATTATGCTTTTAAATGTGTTATTATTTGATGATGAATCGACGTATCAATGAATGTAATCAATTAAAAGAAAAAAAAAATCATAAATATTTTTACTACAGAAACGTTACTGCAACCCCAAACTCTTAATCTACTTTTGGCTGCTTTTTAATAATGACAATGTTTCTAGTAGCATCAGGTAGTTAATAATGCTCGATCTAATTTAAGTTTTTGTACTACTTAGAATTAATATATAGCAATTTTTGGCATTAACTGGCTATCTATGTTTTGTGATTGTTACATCATTAATCATTGTCCATGATGACTTATTATCTTTCACCATACTATAACAATGACCATTAGATATGTGCTTACCTTCGTGAAATATGGCACTTGTTGCCATAAAAATATTATTACAAACAGATATTTTCGTTGACGGAACGGCTTTTAAAAATCCTTTTCTATCGTTTATTTCAGTTTTGCTACCATTTGAAAACAAATCCAATGTGAGAACTACGAATGAACTAACTGATGTTATACTCATTTGAAATCGGTTTCTTCAGTACATGTGCTGCACATTTTTCTACAGTTATAGTTTTGCGATAAAAAGTTTTATAGTGAATCATTAACGGTAATAACTTTTGACGATATTGGTAACGATAATGAGACAGCCTCAGATGTACGATTAATAACATAATTACACTTTGAACATCGTTCTGAATATGATAGCTGGATCGTAAATAGTTGTTTAATATAATCATACTTTTGACATAATGCGTGGAAAAATAATAAAGGATCTAATTCTTCTGTATTATTACCAAATTCATAACCGACGAATTGTAAAAGCGTTGATGTATTTAAACCACTCTGATTATTTTTGTATAATTGTAGTAAAGCCTGCAATGGTGTATGTGGTGCTTTTTGAATTTGCAGAAAAAATTTTTTCAGAAAAATACAATTAAATACACATTGTATCGTGGCATTCGCGAAACTGTGAATACCTTCATAGTTTTCCAGATCACCAATTGAGGTAACATTACAGTTGATATTCTGTATGTTACTTTCATTATTATTATTATCTAAATCAAATTTATCCAAAGCCCAATGGAATTCTATCACTTTCATTCGACGTTTTTCATTTATTTCGATCTGTTGTAAGTCAGATCGATACATTTTTCTCAAACGATTATATTCTCCAATTGCAAATGAACGCCTTCTAATGATGTAACACGAGATAATGCGACATAAGTTTGCCCGGTACAAAAAACTCTGTTACCCACATCAATAATGGCATTTTTCAAACTTAATCCTTGACTTTTATGAACTGTTATACCATAACTTAAACATATAAGAAATTGCTTTCGAATTACATATGCATCATTCATGATTTGGAATTTAGCACTAACTTGTTGTATCATGTACTCTTTTTTATTATTGAATTTGATAGTTATTGAATTAACATCTTCACAAGCGTGACTAGACTTTGATATTGATACAATAGTACCTATGGCTCCGTTAACAAGTCCTAACGATACATCAACATTCCGTCTTATCATGATCTTTGCTCCAATTTTGACCACAATAACTTTCGCTAATCCCGCAGTACGTGTATCATCATTATCTAATTTTTTTAATATTAAAGATGATTTTTTCAAAAATTTTTTTGAACAATCTATTGTATCATTCGCAACAAGAGAAATTTCTGGTGATGAAATTTTTCCCAACATTATAGAATTCAAAATATCACATTGATTACATGTTGGTAATAAACATACACTGTGATCAGGTAATTTGTTTATATATGTACATATGTCGTTTAATCGACCATCGTACTTGGATTCGGATTTAATTACGACCTTTCGCAGTTCTAACAATTTAACGTCATTACCAGTTGATGCACCTACACGTAATCGAGAAAGTAACTCGCTATATTCAAGGTCATTTTTTTGCCGCATATTAATTGTTAATTCATCATAATAAAATGAATTACTCTACGAATTAAAGCTTCCTAATGAGCCAATAAATTTTGTTATCTTTTCTAATGATAGTTGAACAAATATAGGACTTTCTCTTACAGGTGGAAGTTGGAGTAAATCTCCAAATACAAGAATATGTATGCCGCCAAACCAACTGTCCTTCTTATCTACAGCATTAAAAATTTCTACTAGTCGTAGATGTATATACAGCAAAACAAGATTAGAAATCATTGATATTTCATCAATGATAATTAAAATTACATTTTCAAACTCACTTCTTAACGCTTGTAAGGCATTATCTGATAATTGGCTGTACTGGCAGGCATAACCATGTTCAACTGGCAACTGAAACGCTTTATAAACAGTAACGCCATTAATATTAAAAGCTGCGATTCCTGTAGGTGCAGATAAAATGACTTTTTTCTTCAGTTCGCTTCGTACAAAACATTTTATCGTATGTATTAAAAAACTTTTACCTGTACCACGTTCACCACTTACATACAGTCGCAAAACTTCATCTTTTAACTCAAGAGCTTCTTTTACTTTATTGAATATACGTAATTGACCCCTATTCAACTGTTTAATCATCTCTTCAAGGTTATTTGATGCATTATCATCATTAGACACATGATCTTGAACGAGCACATCATTTACTGATGTAGAATTCACTTGGTTACCGGTTCTAAGTTCTTTATCGTTTTGTGATTGCAAATTGTCATTCGTCGTTGATTCCGTGCCTAAATTTTTATCTAACTTTTCATCGATTTTCTGTTGTATTAAATCTAAAACTTTTTGTAGTTCCGAATGTTTTTCATGGTATTTTACAGCTTCTGTGAGGTATTGGGAATTTTTTTTGAATGATTCAGCATACGTACCGCAATTATTTTTAAGATTTTTCATATTTCTCCATGGTTGGTAAAGTAATAACAACGCATAATAATATTTTTCAGGTTCAATATGCGTATTAAATTTATAATGGTTAATTAAATGTGGAATTCGTCGTTTAATTAAAAATAATGACCGGCTTATTTCATGCACTTCACGGCCATCTTTTTTTGGTTTGACTTTACTGACGTCATACCAAGAGGCAAAATTAAATAAAGACAAATCTTCTAATTCAATAGGACGATTCAGACAATAAGTATCAATAATAGACGCACAAAATATATCGGTTGCGCCAGGATCCAATTTTTCAATTTCTGAATATTTTTTTATCATTCTACTTCTTACCATTGATACGTTTAACCATCGAAACGTGGTGTGTGTATCTGTATCGTATAATGGAATACCTACTAATGTATCGGCAGCCTCAAGAGCGCCAACTTCGCGATGATTTAATGAACGGAAAGCTACATGCCATAATCTTTGATATAACTATTTTGTCGAATTAATATCCTCTAACATTCGAATCGGATTGGCAGATTCAGCTTTAACAGAATACTTTGTACAATAACGCGTTAATAATGTAGAAGATTCTTCAATAAATTGGATATCCATATTTCCTTCCCAAGCACTTAGAACTACAGGATTATAATCATTAATATGACCTTCTGTTTTAGTACGAGGAAGATCGTAAAGACGACTTTTCGTTTTACAATTTCTTCGCCCAGCAATAGATGTTGCTGTATTACGTAAAACAAAACATTCCGTCGTTGGTCTGGGAAATCCAAATCTACCAATTTTTTTTGTAGTTGAATTGAATTTTTGTTTCTTAGTCCTCATACAATAATTATTATGATTATGGTTCTGATACGTGTTAATTTTTCTAAATAAATTTGGTGAAAGATTTTTATTGGGTAATTTACAGGTCACATATTTCAATATGTAGTTTTTGACTTCTTCATTGCTATTGTTCCCTATAACGAGAGCATTTTTTATCCAGAAAATACAATGGAAATGCTGAATCCCTCGACCTTGGTACTCACGACGCCAAAAAAAGTGTTCTACTTCACCAATTGGGTTATCTGATGATAAGATAAATTGAAGCATTGCTTGAAATTTGTTTTCAATAAATCTGAAAACGGATACTGGATCGGAAGCAATTACTTCACTCGCAGATAATTTATCAAAACGTGGAGTGTTAATTTCGCGGACATATTTTAGAAGATCATCCCAGTTATATTCAGCAGGAGATAATGTAAGAAACCAAGTTGCAGATCCATAATAAAATATCATACATTTTATGTTATTTTTTGGTTTACTCCAATATTGGGGAGAATTCCAAAGCCGCTCAAAAATAGTTTGTAAATCTCTTTCCAGGTGACCGTTTTCCACATGATTGAGATATTCTTTCACCGTGCAACGTTTTTTCGGATCAGTCATATGCAATACATGATATATGCCACTGTTTACTTGTCGCATATGAGTTTGACTAATTAAATAAAATATGTATGGAATATTCAAACAAAACCGTGCATCAGCAGACATTAACCGTAATTCAACATACTGACTTTTATTGAGTACGAACGATCGTTCTTCATACTGGCCATTAATTCCGTAAGGATACAAATCGGAAAAACAGAGTAAATCTAGATCTTTGTAACGATTATTTAATGGATTTTCTCGAACTTTTTTCATTTGATATAAAGTAGTCGAATCTTTATTAATTCTTTGGTTGTACAGACGATATATAGTATACTGCTCTTCATACTTTTTAAGATCAGGAATAAGTGTTAAAACAGCAGATCGACAAGAATTTTGTTCAGACGTCTGAGTAATAAATGTTTTTTGTGTCTGGGACAAATTATTATCAGAAATTATATTTTCATCTTGAACGTCTCCTCCATCTTTAATGAGTGGTGGTCCATTATCATTTACGATTTTATTGCTTTCGTTTAATTCAGATTTATCGTTGGCTGCGGAGTATGATTCTACTTTATATTCTATCTCCGAATCTAAGATATCGAGAAGATTCTCAGCAGTTGAAGGCAAAATTATTTCTGAATACAACGGATTATGAATTTTTAGCCATTGTAAAGCATTGAATACTTTGTTCATGTTGACTAGATTTTGCCATACTCTCATATATAATTCATGATTTCTATTTAATGGTTCTGTAGTTGAACAAATTTTCTCTAACGTTTCTTCTAGTGGTAATGGTAAATGGAATGAAGTTCCTTTCAACTTTTGCACTTTCATACAGTTTGGTAAATTTTTCTTAGAAACTGTATCCATTCTTTTAACGACTTGAAATGCTTTGGCTCTCTGTATAAACAATTTTTCACCGTCAGTTAGAGATGAAATTTCTTCAGGAATATCTCCAGCAAGAAAATTATTCATAATACTAGTAGGAGGACAAGAATTATTACGAATCTTTGTTAGACAATATGTACAAATAAAATCGCTGCTCAAATTTGTATTTTTCGCAATGAAATTTTTGAGATCTTTGAATAATACACATTTATCAATTGGTTTCGTAAGTTTTTCAATTATTTTTCTATCTCGTGCAGGACAAAGTTTTTGGCAAACGATGCAAACATTACGCGGAGTATCTGTGGCTCGCTTTGTTAGAGCAATGAATGCTGTTTTGTAAACTCCACGAATTCTTTCTTCATCTAAACATATCGAATTCTCATTATAATCATAAATTCTACCGTGCTCAATCATTTTTTCATGAATGGCGTAAAGATCTTTGTAATGACTGTTTTCCAATCCAAAATCTAATTTGCAAATTTTACTGTATAATAATTTTATTTTATATACTATAGCTTTAATATACCAAACTGCAGGAAAATGTGGTGATAGTATTCCAACGCTAATGAATAATGAATCACATATTTGATCTAATTGATAGCAACGTAGAGTATGTCCCATTTTATTATCTTTACGTTTGCTCCAAGTAAGGTTTCTGGGAGTATCATGTTTATTAAAATAATTCTCTACAAAGTCAGAAAGATTCTTAAATGTCAATGATTTTAAACATCGAAGAAATGAATAATATTTTAATAAGACTTCGTTAAGGAATTTTTTTGTGACATATATTAGATTGAATATCATTCGTACAAAATATACCGCAGTTCTTATCACATTTTCATTGAATTTTAGATTTAGGGTATTTTTGTAGTGGTAAGATATTTACTGCCTGACCTTTGAGATTCATTTTTATAGGAAAATCATTGATACGTGATACGTTTTTTGGGTCTCCAAATAGGTATGTTGATTCGCTGAAATAAGATTCTGATGATTTCGTATGAAGGGATTTACCGCAAAGATTATATAATTTTTTACCGAGATCTGGAGAATTTTTAGATCTCAGAAGGAAGTAGTCTGCTGTAGCTTTTATTCGTTTTATAGTTGATGAAAGCTGTGAGATGTAGATATCTCTTTGTACCATGCACCATTTTATTATTTTTTCTGATAATAATCGACTTTGCGTACAATTTTTGATGTCAGTTTCAGATTCGATAGCATTTTGTAATTTTTTGATGTAAATTTCATATGATAACTTTGTTTTAATTTTTTTTTTTTTTTTTATCTATATCATCAAAATCAACTATGTTATTTAGTTTATCAGTTTCATCGTTAATAGCAATGTTATTTTTGTGATCATTTATTTTTTTTTTTAGTCATATTAGTTCTGTCAGATGTTTTCTCACCAATTTAAAGTTTACTCTTATTACTTAATAAATTTTGACTATTGATGTCTCTAGAATCGATTGAGAATACTTCACTTGTATTGGAAGATTCATTTTGAGAATTATCTATATCTACATCACGGGTTAAAGCTATGGAGTTATCATTTACATTTGCATAACGAGAATTTTTGATGTTATAATTTACTTTTACATCAGCTTGAACACAGATATTGTGTTTAATATCTGAATTATCACTTGATATATGATTACGTCCAACTTTCTCATTATTTCTAACAAAATCATTATGTTGAGTAAACATATTTTTCAGTTTACATGGTGAAATAGGTATCGAAGTGTTTTTTATAATGTTCTTAGACTTGTTACTCACATTTTGAAATGACTTTT